TGATGATGTCGTGCAGACACACAGGTGATGTTTACCTTTGGGCGTGGGTCCGGTCAGAATGAGGTCATCGTGTCCTTTCTCCACCACCTTCACCTTGAACAGCGGCTGCCCCTCCTCCTCCTCGATGTAGCACATGTACTTACAGCGTCTGCGGAGCACGAGCAGAAAGCCATCAGACCGACCAATCACTGCTGACGTCTACCTGTGATCAGACCAATCACTGCAGAGGGAGGTAAACGCCCTCTCACACTGTGGTTGGTAATCCGACACCTCCATCACTACACTGGCCTTCTTCCTGTTGCAACCTTTCACAGTAAAAGCTCCTAACATAAACATCTTCCTGCAGATCTAAACTTTGTCTTCCACCAAAGAAAACTGTGATGTAGCACAGCGGTGGGCGTGGCTACCGCACGCTGCTGCTCTTACCTGTTGCTGTGGCGCATGCTCCAGTAGATACGGTTAGCATGGTAACCGACGGGGAAGATGGCCGCCTCGTTGTGGAAGGTTCTCATCTGCTGTGGGAGGAGCCTGCCGATGGCGCGGAACAGCAGGCTGCCGACCCTGAAGGTGTGCTGCCGCTCGCCGCGCTGCACCACGGCTGCGATCTGGCGCGCCTCGTCCCGCTGCACGAACACTCGGCGGAACACCGCGAAGCATCGCAGCTCTGAGTCGTACGGGTCAGAGGCCGTCACAGCCGCCGGGTCAGGGGCGGAGCCGGGAGTGGAGGAGGGTGAGCCGCCGCAGGACCTGTCCCCGCTGAGAGGAACCATCCTGGGTTTATGGAGGTGGCAGAGCATGGTCTTATCCTGGAGGACAGAGGAGGTGCAGGTGAGGAGGAGTGCGCGGTGGGCGTGAGCTCAGGTGCAACTCGGCCTTGCACTTACCTTGAAGAAGGTGCACTGGGCCTGCGAGGCGCAGGTGAAGTGGTAGGTGTTGGTGCAGCGGAGGCGGTTGCAGCCGCTCGTGGCGCCGGTCTGCTGGCAGTGAGCGCAGCGCAGCGTCAGTCCTCGCCTCAAAGCCAGCTCCACGTTGATGAGCGCACCCGCCTGAGTCTCGTACACCTCGCTGGACCACAGGGCGCAGTTAAGGTGCACCTGGGACAAACACATGGACGACAGGTGAATGGGCCGCACCGCGCCGCCTCCGGAGACTCAGAGCAGAGGGCGGCGCACTCACCCACAGATCCAAGTCCAGGTTCAGGAGCCTGGCCGGTCCGTCTGTCTGGCCATCGCCCTGCTGGTGACAGAAGCAGCACCTGCGCTGGTCTCTGGGTAATGGGTCTGGACGAAGACACGCCCCCAGGTTCTTCAACAGCTCATCCACTTCATCCTGTGTTGGCAAGGCAACCGCCTCATTAGAGATGCACGTACCCCTGCGTGAAAAAGAGAAAGATTACTGATGACACAACATCCAGGTCTGATGACGCGCAGCTGAGGGCGTCGTGGCGCCATGTGCACTTGCACAGGCTGTTATCCTCAAACACAGTGGTCATTGCTGGAGCAGAGGCTCCGCCCCTTCCCCCACAGGTGAGGTTCAAATGAGGTCCCTAACATACCTGCTCAGTGTGATGTTAACACTCCAGCGTCGCCAGCGGGAACTCTTCATCCTCTTTCCATGGCACGATGACAGTGAGTCCTCCTCACCTGGGACTGCTCGGGGGCGGGGCTTCAACTTTACCTTCACCTGTAAGCCAATCAAACAGTCAGTCTTCAAATCAATGACCTGACTCAGTACAATGTTAGTTCACAGGTAACCACGCCCACCTTGAGGCTGTCCATGTGAGGCCTGGTCTCCATGGTGATGGCAGAGGCAGATGGGAAGAAGAGAGGTGGGGAGGAGGAGGAGGATGTCGAGGGAGGCGAGGAGGGAGCACGGGGGAGGGCGTGGACGGCGATGGAGGACATGTTGTTGGTGTACTGGTGCTGCCCCCTGGTGGGAGGGGGGCACTCGGAGCCGGAGAGCAGGACGGGGACTGCAGACTGACAGCGGGACAGGCGTTAAAGCGGTGCATTGTGGGAAACCTGAACTCCTGACCCAGACTACACTGCACCAGGGGAACAACCACACCCACCCCCACAGCAGCCAATCCTAACAACTACCACTATAATTGTAACTAAACATTGTCTGTGCCTAATCTCAGCGCCAAACACATCAGCCAATGACGGCTGTGACACCTGCGGTGTGGGCGGGGCCTCACCTTGGTGCCTGCAGACCTGCTCTGGAGGTCGCTGGTGTAGAGGGTGGAGCAGTTGGGACTGCAGAAGAGCAAGCTGGCGCCGGGTCCGGGCTGACCCTCCTGTAACACACACACAGAGGGTGACTTCCTGTCCACTGGGAGGTCACTCACCGTCTCCTCGGAGGCGTCTAACCTGTTTGAGCTCCCTGACAACGCGGACTCCGTTTCCCAGCAACACCTTGCAGTAGCTGCAGCACGGAGGCCTGGTGGTGGCGCCGCCCTGCTGGCTGAAGTCCATCCTGACACCTGTAGACACACGGTTAGATATGAACAGACGCACAGGTGTGTGCGTGCGTGAGCGTGCGAGTGTGCGTGCAGACCTGTGTTTCCTGTGGCGGCCGCTCTCTGTTTTGTGGCGGATGAATCCTGTGAACACATCAAACAGCTGTCAGTCACCTGGAGAGGCGCTCGGCACAGCGATGAAGCAACGCTGTGCGGCGATCTCACCTGCGTCAGCGGCACCTGCACGCTCGCCAGCAGGGCCAGAGAGCTCTGCTCGGGGCCGGACGCTCGGCTCAGCTGGTAGTTCACAGGGACGGGGACCCGCAGCAGCTCCGCCACCGCCGCCATCACTCCTGGAACGTTCTGGAAACAGACGGTCACAGCCATGACGACCAGGGGGAGGGGCTACTGATACATCAACATTGATAGCAAGAGATGTTTACCTGGGCTGCAGTGGGGTTCAGGGTTATTGCTATGGTAACCAGGTCTGTGTTCGAGCAGGAAGGAAGTCCCTGATGGTTGGTCTCAGTCTTCACTTCCTGTTTGACTGCAGATCCTGCACACAGGTGAGCAACAGGTGAGGATCAGAACAGTCAGGAGACATCTTCCAGTCACGCTGCGGCTGACTCACCTTTCCCCCAAGCACAGGGGATCATGGGTAGTGTAGGCGACGGGCAGGGTGAGGGGGGCTCCAGTTTGATGAAGGACAGGTCGGGGTACCGGCTGACCTCCATGTCCGCCACGCTCTCCGGGGACGACGATGGAACGTAGCTGTCATCTCGCTCTGACGAGTCCTGGACCCTGAGGATGAGAAATCACGAGAAGAGTCAGCGCGACTCGAGACGACGACGAGGCATTTGGCTTCACGTCTGAGGGGCGGGGCATACCTGAGCTCCTCCTGGTTGTTGTGGGGTGGGGTTGGGAGGGAGGCAGGCACATCTACTGTCTTGGAGGGATGGTTTAAACTGAGAAGCTCCTCCCCTTTCAGCTTCAGAGCAGACACACCTTTCACTGAGGTAGAAACAGGAAGAAGAGATCAGCTGTCAGGTGTCCACATACTTACGGCCACACGCTAACCTGTGCCTGTCAGGCAAAGAAGAGGGTCAAATAAGCCTCTCACCATCCTGCTCGCCGACCTCCTTCCTGGTCAGCTCCTCTGTCGTGGCGAAACCGTTCACCAGTTTCTGCCTGGCAACAGGAGGCGGTGTCGGTGGCAGGGAGGCCGGAGGAGTGGGGGGGTTACTGAGGTTGTTCTGCTGGAGGAGCAGACAGGAAGTGATGTAAGCAAACAGCAGTACTACACCATCACTAAAGTATTAGCTCAGTAGTGCAGCGGTACCTTGTATATGAGCTGGGAGTAGTAGTCGCTGACTCCATCCAGGCAGGCGTTGCCGAAGGAGCCGCTCAGCCGGGAGTCTCGGCCCAGAGAGGAAGTGCCGTAGGGGGGGAACAGACTGAGATCCACCCCCAGGACCGGCTCCATGAGGGGCAGCACTGCCAGCTGTTGATGGAGGGAGAGGTTTAAGCTTTCAGACACATCTGCTTCCTGCTCACTAAACAGGAGGAGGCGGGGCTCTACCTGTCTGAGGTGTGTCACCACCGGGTCAGAGGAAGAGGTGGAGCAGGATTGGAGTGCCTCCTCCTCCTTCTTCTTCCTTTTGTACTTGGGAGGAGCTCGGTCTTTGTCGGGCCGGGCGGGTCTCTTGCAGCGTTGCGTCTTCTTCCTGCCGAAGGCGTCCAGCAGCTCTGAGGCAGGCCCGTCCCTCGCCACCTGGAGGTGGAGCACGTGATCAGCTTTTTTAACTAAAAGGTCACATGACATACCATTTGTCTGCGCTGGCCACCTCCTCACCATGTTGCCATGGGAACCTGGTGCATCTTCCTCTTCAGATCGACAGCCATCGCTGGACAGCTGTCGCCGGGCGATAGGCGGAGCTTGGGTGACGGGCGATGGCGTGTTGGCAGGGGAGGTCTTGTCCCTTAGCAGGTGTCTGAGCAGCTCCTTACCTGCATCGCCTGCCTGATGAGGAGACGTGGGGGAGAACGGCTCTGCCCGGCCCTCCTCCATCTTCACCACCCTGGCTCCACAGGCTGCGGCCTCCTCACGCTCCTCCTGCAGAGAGACCAGGAAAGTGACTGTTAGAGGAGCGCACACCACCGCAGTACTACTGCAGTACTACCGCAGTACACACAATACCCTAGTTCATCCACTATCACTGCAGTACTACAGTACCGCTGCATTACTACAGTACCGCTGCAGTACTACAGCAGTACTACAGTAATGCTGTGGTACTGTAGTACTACAGCACCACAGCAGTACTACAGCACCACTGCAGCAGTGGGATGACGTGTGAAACAAGCGCACCTTGACCTTCAGCAGAGCTGCAGACAGGGGCCCTCTCTGGCACTCTGAGCCCAGCCCGGAGGCTCTCTGCTGGGCTGCAGAGATGATGGACAGCTGCCTCTCCAGCTCTGATGATGGGGCCAGACCAGAGAGGGAGGAGCTCTGAGGGAAAGACAGCTCTGATTGGTCCATGCTGCCAAAGGTGGGTGTGGAGCACGCAGTGTCAGAGACAGCAGGGGTGGGAGGGGCAGTGAGGTCATCAGACTGCGAGGACAGTGGCGTCCGGGCCCCCCCTCCTCCTGTGGCTTCCTCCCCGTCCTTCTTCCTACTCCTCTTCTTATTCGGTTTATTGTCCGGGATGATGTCAGAATACAGCTGGATGAGGGAGGCGGGGCCACCAGAGGAGGAGCAGGGGAAGGAAGTGGCCAGAGGAGTGGAGGGGGAGGAAGAGGAGGAGTCGTGTCCGAATAGATGTCCCTGCCCTGCCGGATGGGAGGAGGGCATTCCTGCTGCTCCGATCCCAGCTGGGTGTGCCTGCCCTGGGGCTGAGGGTGCTGTGAGGCCAGGGAGCCTCGTCCTGGTCTGGAGGCTGGAAGGAGCCACGTTCATGGGGGGTTCACCTGTTGGAACAGGGGGCGCTCCAGGGAGCAGAGGCCTCGCCGTGAAGCCTTGGCGGAGGCCCGCCTGCAGGGGAAAGGTCGCTGCCATCTGGTGCTGAGGTCGAGGTCTGGAGGTCTGGAGGAAGTCCTGGGGCAGCTCGGAGCTGAAAAAGGGCATCTGAGACAAACCGTCCCCTCCGGGGGCAGCTGTCGGCCCCACCTGAGGACCCGACGGAGTCGCGGCAGGAGGCACGGAGGCCCCCAAGAGGCTCTGCTGCTCCAGCTCCAGTCTCTGCTGCAGGACGCGGTGACGCTCCACCTGGAAACACATCAACAGGATTCATGAGCAGGAGGCTGCAGACACCTCTGACCTTTAACCCCTGACAACCACGCTTTATTCATACACACAACAATGACACACGCATGTGGTTTCATCTGTTCTCGTGGATGTAACCAGGCCTCCAGACTAATATTGACACCTCTGCTGGCTTGCTCCCTCCTTGTCCACCATTCAACCATCTTCAAGTTTGACTCTCCCCCAACGATCGGATGGACCAATAATGAGCCAGTCTGTCTGTCAGCTCCACCCTCTTCCTGTCCTCGTTAAAAGC